TCTTTTGGATGCCAACGAAAGTGGTTTGGTTGAAATGGTTTTTCTTGATTTTTGGTTGCTTTCGGCCTCTTCGCGTCTTGTTGGCTAGAGCAGCGCTTGACTGTCAAGCGAAAGTGGTTTTTGCACAACAACAAAAGCGTCTCAGCGCAGAGTTTAAAACAAATTGCAAGCAGTAACAACAGTCGGCAACACCGACAACAGCTGGAACAACAGCCGCAGCGTTAACAACAAGCAGTAGGCAATTTCCTGTAACAAGTAAAAGTGTAAAAAAAAACGGCATCCGCGCCAGTATGTAAAGCGGGGCAAAGCGGTGGGAAGTTTTTCCTTCTTTCCGCAGGCATATTTTATTGTAAATTTACTCTTTCTAAAATGTTTTTCTTTCACTTCAACTTGTTGTTGTTTTTTTTATCTTAGTGCTTTTTTGTTGCAATTTTGAAATCATTTTTTTTACAGTTTAATTGCTTTTAGTTTTAGTTTTATAGCAACTTAAGTGCTAATGCAGCGCTCATATAGTATGTACTAGGGATGTTTCGAATGTGTTCGCGAATGTGAATGCGAATTTTCGGAATGCCTTCAATTAAGCGTTAATTTCGAGCTTTCGCTTTCGCTGGATTAATCTAAAATTATTTGTAGGTTGCTTATGAGACTTTTAGCAGTATTTGTTGAACGCCCATCAATGTTGCTTGATGTACTACTTAACCGATTAACGCCTGCAGCTAAAAGCCGGTTATTGTCCGCACCTTGGTTAAACAGACCATAAAGCCATTTTAACAATATTGGAGTGGACTCTCTGCCCATGTACACATTCGCGTTCGCAACAAATGATACGAATGTTTTGTGTAAAATTATGCGAATCATTCGCATAACGAATGCGGATGCAAATATTCGCAACATCCCTAGTATGTACATACACACATAAATATGTACATATATAGCCATTCGCGGCAAAAATCTGCATTTCACAGAATGCTACTCTGTTATACAAATTAAATAATCGCCACGGCAGCCAACCTGTTTCGACATAGCCGCTGGCGGATTAGTTGCTCAGCTTAGTGCACTTTGCACATTCATATATGAATGCACATGTATGTATGTATGTACATAAATGCAGTTATATATAGGTTTGTTTGTTTTTATGTTATGAATGATACTTTTTATGTCCAGCGTTTGTTTCTTGGCGCTTTTCACACGTTCTGCTTTTCAGCAGCCTGGCAGCCTAATATTGATTTCTGCTACCAGACGCTAATTCACAGGCAAACCAATCAAAGCGAAAATTACTTTTGAAATTAAATTGAATAATTTTAATTATTTTAGATTGTAAACAATTTTAAAAATTTTAAATCAATAATCTTTGCTCAGAGGTGCCGGCACTCCGCAGGCGGTAGTTGTGCGCTCGATGGATTCTTCAATGCCAAACTAAGTTCGAATGTGGCTTTGGAGGCTAAAGCAATGATGCGGAAATTAAAATGGTGATTATTGGACTCAATACTAATGTAGGTGCCTATCAAAGCACTAAAATTAATGTTTTATTAAATAGACTTGCTGAGAAAAAAATACTTTAAACAATAATTTTAAAAACCTCAGGTAGCGCTGGGATAAGATTTCACTCAAAGTTTTTGCATCCAAAAAATATCAGGGTCATCTTCAATTTTTCGTGGGATAATTTTTCTAACTGAATCCAAAACCATCCCAAAAGAAAACATTTTTTTTTTTAATCTTTTTCAACTCATCACTGCGACCCAACGATGCATTATACCCTGTGCTCTTCACATCAGTTGTGTTCAACTTAAGACCCGTAAAAAGTGCAAACGAGCTTTATAGGCTGGAAAGTTAATGAGCACAGTACGAGTGCTTACATTAGGCCAATATTTCTCTTGTGTCTTCTACAAAGATCATCACATCCTACTGAGAGATATAAATATGCATCGGCAGTAATCACTTTGTCTGGCGCAGTGTGGCGGTGATGTGTCTTCGGAAACAAGAAAGAGGCTCGAGTGGGGATGGCAATTTTCTCAAAGCCATAGTTTCTGCTAGAGGTTTGTCCCCGCCTGAAATATGGCTTCTAGCTCCGGCATCCTAGTTCTCGAACTTTAGATGTGTGGTCCTATATCTTCTGGATCTTTTAGGCCGGATGTGTACCAGAGCGGTGCTCCAGTCAGAGTAAGCCTTGTCTGAGGTATATAATTGAATTTTTCGGGGTTTTTGAGGGCTTATAAATATAGTTAATATTAAAAAATGGTTAAATAAATAATTAGCTGCTATTACTGGAACTCTTCTGAAGAGAAGCAGAGTGTTTCGATCGAAAAATATTGATTTTCAAGAATTCTCTATCATTTCTACAAAAACGTGTTTTTTTCCTATATAAAATACAGGAAAAACTTCATGGTCTTTGGGGCCGTTCTAAATATAATTTTTCTTTTGTTCAACAGAAAAATACGGGTATTATTTTTTTCATTCAGTAAAATCCTAGGGCACAAGAGCATATTTTTTTGAACGCTCCAGTAAAACCCGTCATCGACTCGGCATTCATGGATTAGAAACGAAATGAAAGGCGCAACAACTGGAGCAAATTCGCAAAGACAATTGGTGAAGTGTTGTGGCCTCGGCCCGAAACCGGCAAATGGTTGTATTGCCAACTAATAGAAAGAAGATATCCTAGCATTCTAAATACATTTTTAACCATTTCTCTAAAATAGCACTTTCCACGGCTTTTTTTAGAGGATGGAATTTTTAGCCTTTTCTTTTATAAGAATACGGTGCGATTCTTTCTTTTAGCTATTTATTTTATGTGTTTAGTAATAAGATATTAACCGGCGAACTTCCATTTAAAATTACGTACGTATTTATTTATTGCCCAAGTGCATACATGTATCATAAAAATATATATCTATGCACATTAGCGTGGACCGAAAATCCGCTGTTTTAGAATTTTGATTGCTAATAGCAAAAATATCCATCAAAGTTCAATGTGCTCAGAAATTAAAATTAATAAATACATTAATTAACAAATTTTTTTTTTACTAAAATTGCAATCAACTTCGAAAGTATTAGTCCCACATAATTTGGTATATGGACCTTTTTTTAAGGAAATCGAAGTAAGATAAGAAAATATTTTTTTAGCACTGAACTTTCATAGAATTGGGGCGAGCCTAAGATATTGACCAACAATTTTCATCTTTAATACAGATTGCTTTTAGAGCATAATGAACCATATTTTTGCTATTAGCAATCGAAATTCTAAAAAAAAAAATGGATTTTCGACCCACGCTAATGCACATACATACATATATGTATTCTTGTGGAGTTTTTTGTCAGTGCCAACTTTGTTGCCACAACTGTCACTTGGCATTAAACCATTTACGCAAAAGGAACATAAATTAACTTATGTCATGTATTATTGCACAGTTGTCGATATTTAATTGATATTTAATATGTAATGCAAAATTGAGATCGGAATTAAGCTCTGGCTGTGTATGCGTATATGGATGGATTGAATGCGAAGGCGTTGTAGAATTTCGCACGCTGTTCGGCGAAATTGTGCAAATGAATGTGAGAAGTTGGGCAGATTTTGAGTTATTTTAGTTAGTACGTGTTGCGTAGTCACTTTGTGACACATTTATTAACATATCCAAGAGAAGTTTTTTTAAAGTGAGTTTTCTCAATACCTTTGCTTATATTCTGAAATTTTAGGTAGGTACATAGTTGCTAAGGCGTTTAAAAGAGAAAAAGAAGATATGCATATACTTGTCAAGGACTATGTTAGTTGTTTTAATCCTCGTAATTTTAAATCGTAAATTTTTTATATTTACAATATAAAATATATATTTACAAAATATTGCACTTATTCCAGTAATTGAAACTTTTAGCCATTAAGTTGACAGAAGTAATTTTTTTTCTAAAACTCAATCATCTACTCAAATAAATGTCGCAGTAAAGTTTAATTAACCTTTTATAAGTAGAAACAATTAATTCTGTACAACCGCATAAAACACCGTATATACATATCTTATTTATGAACGTACATACCTACATTTATTCAAGTCCATGTGATGATATTAATTTTGTTGTTATACCCATATAATTGCTGTTTTAATAGTGCTTTATTATTTATGGTCAGCTATTTATTGCAGTATGTATGTACATACACACATGCATAAACTTACCCATTTTTAACGCGCTTCTTCCACGGCTAATAGCACATTTACAGTTATTTACGAATTTTGAAAGGAAGAAAATTTAAATCTATGTGCATGTCAGCGTTGATACTGCAAAAAGTAGAAGTATCTATATATATGTCAATTATCACCATTGGCACTTAGCTGATCTGTTACCTGCACCGGAATGCATCAGCAAATTGTTACATTCTCATAAACGAATTACAAAACTTTATTACTTTGGCTGATGAAAATGAACGATTGACAGAAGTGATCAGGCCATAATTGACATAGAAGGTTTTGCAGTATAAACGACGCTATGTACTAAAATGTACGTTACGTTGCATGGAACAATAAGCAATTTTAGTAACAATTTAGCAGAGAAATATTTGAGTTATTTAATTGTTGCTTCTTTAATTTTTAATTATTCTCGTGGAAAGGTGCAAAATGCTGGCGGCAATACAAAATAAATTATTCACAATCGCAATTGAATGCATTAATTATGAATGCCTGCATTTATGTGAGCATAGCAGGTGTAAACTAAAACAATTATCTATTCAATAATTTACTACTTCACACAAAGACTTCTTGCGTAACCTCAACTAATGGCTTATGCCATAAACTTCAGGGTATCAATTCTCAAGTCTACATAAATATATATTTATATAAAAAAAAACATACATACACTTGTATTTGAAACACATTTGCATCTTCTATAAGCCTTAAATGGGAATTCTCAGATATATATGTACATATGTATTTTCATTAATTTTCTCTTATCACTTCGAAATCTCTTCATTGTCAATGAGATTAATCAAATTCTTTTTTTTTTAAATCTATTTTCAGGTGAAAATCTGGTTCCAGAATCGACGTTCTAAGTACAAAAAAATGATGAAAGCTGCGCAAGCGCCTGGTACCGGCGGCGGTATGCCATTGGGTGGTGGCGGTCCAAATCCTGGTCAACATAGTCCAAATCAAAATATGCACAGTGGTAAGTTTTAGAGCAAAAAAAAAAAAGACTACTTATGCACTTAGTTACAATTAATAGTAAAGTATATCTAGCTACCGGCGCAGTGTTAAAAAAAAAACTAAGTTGAATTAAATTGATTAATATCTAAATACGATTTCTTTGAATGGAATGTTTTTTTTTTCTAAACTTAGTTTAGTTAAGAATTCGGAAATGAATATTGAAATCAAATTATCTTAAAACTCAGAAAAAATCCTAAAAAATAGAACAGTTTCAGAATTTTTTTTTAAGACCGGTGAACTCCAAAATTTTATTTCTCATTCAAACTTAAGCTTTGATTTAACTTTTGAGCTGATTAAGTAGCCTCGAGCTCAGACGTTTCTTAGTTACTTGAATCGAAGCTTTAGACTTTTTTTTTGCATAATACCTAGTTATTATTTTAATGTTTAGTTAACAAATTATTCCTCGATTCTATTTATATCATTTTAACTGATTTATAAAAAGTTTATCTCATGTTTATTGCAGGCGGTAATAACGGCGGTGGCTCCAATAGCGGCTCACCATCACATTATCTACCTCCCGGACATAGTCCGACGCCATCAAGTACACCTGTGTCCGAATTATCACCTGGTAAGTAAAAGAACAAAATTAAAAACAAAAAATTATGTAAACTTTTCATTATTTTTCGAGTGATTTTAAACCTCTCGAACGTTAAAAAGTTTTAATGATTCAAATATAATATTCTAAATTTTGGCTTAGAGTGTAATAAGGAATCCTTCAAAAATTCCCCTGCTAAATTTTGATTGGAAAAAATCCATTTAATTTCGAATAAAAATTTTTTATTTTGAATTAAGTAATTCTAACAAGAAACTTAAGATATGTTGTCTTTTGCTAATATATATGTATAATCCCTATCTATATAAATCGACTATAATTTCTTTTTCTTTATCTCTTTTTCACTTTTCACATAGAATTCCCTCCAACGGGTCTTAGTCCGCCAACGCAAGCGCCATGGGACCAGAAACCGCATTGGATCGATCACAAACCACCGCAAATGACGCCGCAACCACCTCATCCAGCGCCGCCACATCCGCAAACGCATCATCACAATCCGCCACCGCAAATGGGCGGCTATGTACCGCCACAATATTGGTATCAGCCCGAGACGAATCCGTCGTTATTAACGTGAGTTTAAAAATTCATACCAAAAAACCAAATAGGGTAACTCATCGAAACGCGTAAACCTCTTAAATAAACCGGTTTTTCATACAAAATTAAGATAGTTTTCGAGGATTACGCTTTTAGTTGAATTACCCAAATATAACTCGTACATGGAATTGTTGTGTAAAACCATGGTGGCATTATACCTGACAAAGTAATAAGAGTGAGAAGAAAGACTGGACTCTAGCTGATTTGAAAATTTTCCTTCAAAATTTTTTATAAGGTCAGAATGTCAAAAAAAAAATAATAAAAACTTCACCAGTGTATTGCGCTATGGAGTAAAACAAAATTGCATGTACGAGTATAATGAAAACTTATTTTAAAAGGACAAGATACATATTTTACAATAACAATGAAGTGTTTGCCCTTCCTTCAACCACAGGGTATGGCCAGCGGTTTAACACCAACACCACCAACACCACCAACACATACACCAAACCGATCCTATTTTCATAGATAATTCCAATGCGTATATTTAATGCGGTTACAACAACATGCAACAAAGAAAGCAGACGTTTTTAAATAATTAATTTTAAATAAAGTGTAAAATATGTATTTACAAAAAGGAAAGCTGTAATTAAAAATAAAGTTTAACAATAAAATAATTTGTAAGAAATTAAATTAAGTGCTAAGATGAATTTAATGACAATTACATACTTATGTCTAATTATTATAAATAAATGGAAAATATATATATAAATTTAAAAAAAAAATTAGTTAAAACTTAACAGTTTAAAAGATATTAGTAAACTCGAATTAAGTGCTGAAAATGTTGATAATAATTAATTAATGAAAAAAGTAAAGAAAAAAATTAAAAATTTTAATAAAAAAATTACAAAAAAAAATATTTTGTCGTTTTGTTTTTGTCATACAAGAAGTGTGTAAGAAATATTTAAGAAATAAAATAAAATAACAAAAAAAAAACAGTTTGTATTAGCAACTGTTCATAAAAAGTTGTAGTCGCTAATGAAAAAATATATAAAAAATAAAAATTATACGAAAATCAGTTAAATTCCGATCTCAATTATTTTCTTATAATTTTTATTCAGACTCCTTAATGTTTGCTAAAAATATCAAAAATCACTTAAAAAATTAAAAATTGGAAGGTTTAAAAATTTGTGTTTAATAAAAATTACTTTTATGTGCAATATTATTTTTAATTCAACACATAAAAAAAGCATTTTCAAAAATTAAAAAAAAAAAATAACTAATATGAATAGTGACAATTTAAATTCGCGGTTGTTTTTAGTAGAAGCAACAACTTTTGTATAAAGGCTTAAGCGGAAGCAAGCACGAAAATTTTGAATCCTATTTTTTATAAACGAAAATTAAACTCCCCCAAAAATTAGTATTAACAATTTATGTTCAAATACTAAAACGTCCACTTTTGTAAATTTCTGTATAAAGTAATTCTTGTAGCATTTAGTCCAGCCCCCATAAAATACATTAGAGCGTACGATATTTAAACCATTTCGTTAGTAAAATACTGTACATAGAACGATTAAAAAAAAATAATAAAATAAGCAAAACAATAATAAATGAATTCAAATTGTGAGGAATGTTCGGTTTTATTTAAAAGCTTTTTTTCAGTGGTGGATAAAATCACAAAAAAAAACAATACAAGATATTTTATAATCACTGGTTCAGTTTGTAATATAACAGATGTGTATTATACATATTATACTAATTGCACTCAAAGTAAAAAATTGTCAAAAAAATTGCGTTAGCACAGTGGCCCAAACTCACTTACAAACTATTTGCAGCCAGTCAGTCGAATTCATTAAAATTTACGCAAAATAAACCAAAAATTTTTTAAATAAAATCTTAAAAAAAAGACATGAATGAATACTATTTACTTTTCCAGTATAAAAAAAAATGCAAATAAAATTTATTTCCAGTTACTTTTTCTTTTGCTTTATTTTTAAACTCCTTGTAAATCGCATTTAGCACTTAGTCAATCAAATGAAAAGAAACTGAAAATAAAAGTTATAAAAAGTGAACGTACATACATAAATAGTTTTTTTGTTCGTTATACAAAGTTATGTAAGTAAAACTATATTGAATATTTAATTATAAGCAATTAGTCTACATATATATATATATATATATAGATACAGATAAACTATAAATACGATAGTAATTCTAATATTGAATTTAGTACTAAATTATATAAATAAATAATTAGCAACTGTGTCGTAATTGTAAAAAAATGAAACAATACAAATACAATAATAATTCATATGGAAATTAAATTAAAAATAAAAGAAAGAAATTTTAAATACAAAAAATACCACTTGTATGTATCTGTGTTTTAAGGATTAACGGTGCTGCGAAATGGTAAGTTAAATTAGTAAATATGTAGTAATTTTGGTTGTCCTCAAAAGACCCCTGACACTCTAAAAATTTTATCCATTACCTAGGTAGTATAACCAAATATCTTGGTATATTTCATGATAAACTTTGGCAAACATTGGGTGTCGCTCTTTAGTCGATATTTATCCAAAGCACGCGAACAACTGCAAGGACTAAAGTAAGTAAATTGCGTTGAATGGCGAGTATCGGCTTAATAGGAGCAATAACGACCAGCCCTGATGACGCATTCAGCGCTTCGGTTTCAATACCTTCCTTCCCCATTCTAACAGAAAGGGAGGCTGCCATTTCGGCTGAAGGTTTGGTATACAGATTGATCAAAACTTCAGCAGCTCATCACCTCTGCAGCACGTCAAAATAGACTCCAAAAACGCCAAATGTTAATCAAAGAAACGCCCTTGGGCATTTCCCGAGAAACTCCACCCTGTACCACTATCACCTCAGTTAAATGAATATTTCAGCACTGCTGTCTGCGGCTGCTCTTGCTGGACGAAGAAAAGTCAGAACATAGCCTCTGTGAATGTAATGGCCGATCATCAATGTATCGCAACACCTAAATAATACATATAAATATTTGAAGCTTGTAATAACCCTGTAGTACGGGGGAGCGACTACAGGACTCATGAATCGGTAGCTACCTGGTAAACTCCGTCAATTACCGACCGACTACTGCCAGTCTATTTCATCGATTACTTTTACAAGGCAAAATCGTAGGCGGTAGTCATCATCGGCTCTCTTTGCACTACCTGGAGTTACTAAAATAGTCACTTGCGTGATTTATGGGCGCCCTTCTCTGGTAACTTTTCGCTATTCTGCTTCTGGTACAAACATCACACAAAGAAAGACTTCCGAGGCTTCGACTTTATTCAATATCTGCGTGGGTAGACTGCTTTCGAAACTCACTTCACCTTTAGGAATGAGCAAACGGGAAGCAGTTGTTGCAAGACGACAGCGCTGAATTTCTGCACGGGTGGGTTGAAGCTTGACGGAAGTGTCGGTGGATGGTTCTTTCATGCAGGGCGCCATCATCAGGCAGAGTTTGCATTGAAGAAGTAGTCGAATGTCCGTCAAACTGATCGACGTTGGCAAGGAAATTTTTCCCGATCAGACTCATTTGAGTACCAGGTCATATGGATATTGCAGGCGCGTAATCGCGTTGCGAAGAAGTTGGCCAGAACCCCAGAACCCCAGAACCGGGTAAAACTACATACAAAATAAGTTGTTCTTCACAAGACTGAATCTTTGTCATGAAGTTATAATAACGACCAAAAATATTTGGTTTGTTACGCATAACTGTTGTTGGGCACGCATAACTTTTTCACGTCCATCAGCAACGGTTGTGGGACCAGCAGATTTCTCACGCCGTTGATACAGGATCTGCTCCATCACCCCATTGCCGCATATTTTTTCATGGCAAAAAAACACTCGGAGGGATACCAATCGATAAGACAAGCTTAAAGTAAGTACACCCTGTTTTATTGGGAAATAGATTTGTGTTTTTTTTGGCATCTGTAGAGCTTTTAAATATCTGGCTATATGTACATAAATACATGTGTACAATGTTTGTAACAAACTATAACTAATGTCGGAAAATTCTTTGACATTTTTTTGAACTTCATTGCCTCAGCTATAAATATTCGCGCGTGTTGCCAATGATATTTCTTAACTACTTATGAGGCTCCAATAGAGAATTGTGCTGCACTAGCTGAAGGATTAACTATCTCACGTCACTTAGCAATAATTATTGACCACCTGTGATACAATTTATGCGACTTCAGCGCGCAAACAAACTTGGCAAAAAATAATTTCCCAAGCATCGGAGAGCAACTATTGGCAGCTGCATGTCCCAGGATACTTAGAAAACAATTTTATTGGCTCACGTGTGATCTCGTTAATTGTTATTAGTTAATTGTTAATTGCTGAGTGTTATTCCAGCTGCCTTGGTTTGTTATTCGATGTCATTCCAAGTTCTTCTGAATGCCAGAAACAAATAATTACTGCACTTAAGAATAGCGAAAATCTATGGAGAAAAGGACATTAATTTGTGTGTGAAGAAGTTCTTAAAATTATGTCACATATGCACACACTTACATACATACTTATGTATATGCACGCCAAGGGAAGAGGTATTCTAATAAGCAAAGTATACAAATAATGGAATTAAACTAATAAACACAGCAAATTGGGTGGCAAACTTCTGAGTATTCCTACAACTATTACCATGCCGTACAACTCTGCGCGCCGCTAGCTAGTCTCGGAGTTAACTTCAAGTTGGGCGCACTTGGGTGCTCCACTTAATATGCAATGCGATCGCCAATTTTATAGTGATTTAACAAATTGTTTGGCGCGCATGCGCAACAGATACGTGAAAGTAAGAGTACCACACACAATCGTGATTATGTGCATATAGGGCGCTAAGTATATACATACATACATATATACGTTTGTATCCAGCGTTGCCGTTTTGATACAATTGTACTTTTTTTTTCGAAATTTTAAGATTTGATACTTTTTTGTTCAAAAATGCCCTATTTTGATACTTTTCGCTGGCAGGAATGAATTTTTGAGAACTAGGAATAATATGTATTACTAGTTTAAAGGCAAATAATTTTTTCTTGTTATTTGAAGTCTTGAAATTTTATATGTAGATATTTATAAGTTTGATTAGTTAACTCTTTTAAGGGAAACACAACCCGGAATTTATTTGCACACGTTGCCGTTATTCGGACCCTAAAACACATAAAAACATTGGGAAATATTGGACTTTCGTTGGTCGTTTATGTGCTGTATTGGGTCGTTTGTACTAAATTGCACAGTTAATGTGCTAAAAACAAAATCAACTTGCTAAAAAATAATAATACATTTTTTTTCTTTCTTTTCTTGCGTTTTAAAGCCTAAGCTTACAAAATATACAACGCACATTCATATTTCATGCACATATTTACTTGATTTATTGTAAAGTAATTTCCACAATATTGCCTTAAACAAGTCTCAGTTTGCGCAATGATTTTGTGTGGTTTAGGGGCCCTATAAGTTTGTTTTTCGTTATGCAAATAAGCATACAGATACTCTGTTTTTGTTAAAGCAATTAAAATGATGTTTTTTTATAACTATGGATTTGATTATAAAATTGTATTCATTATTTGTTTTTCAAACAAAAGTTAATAAAAAAAAACAGTTGCGTTTGCTTTTGATACTTTTTGATACTCTTTCTGCTTGACAACTGATACATTTTTCAAGCTCGCTCCCGGCAACGCTGTTTATATCAGAAGATGTCTACACAATTACGCGTCTATCTAATTGTGAGTATGTCTGCGCAACGATTTACCTATTATGATTGGCTTTTATTATTAAATTATCAGGACGGCAGCAAATAGTTAGTCAACAATCTGGCGGGCCCCTTGCTTGCACACCTACAATACAAATATAGAACAAAGAATTGC